TCTTCATAGCACTTATCATCCCCTGAACTTGAACTGTTGATTCATGCATTCATGTGTTTGTTTTCTCTCTGCTCCAAGAACATAAGCCTCATGAAGGTGGGGGCCTTTTTCTATTTACCAAAGTGTCCACAGAATCTGGCCTATAGTAGGTACTCAACAAACATTTGTGGAGTGACCCAATGAGCCCCTGAGAGACAGGGGACCTCCAACAGGCATTTGGATGACACAAACAAGTGATGTTGACATAAGTGTGCATGAGGGAAGGGTGTACCAAATGCTGTGAGATCCCAAAGGTGGTAGAGAAGGTTCCAGAGAAGAGAGGATATTTGAGCTGAGCCTTGACGGGCTGGCCTTCCTCTTATTTAGGGCGCCTTTACTGTTTCTCAACAACTCTAGGCTCCTTATGACTCTGGATGCTCTGATTTTGTAGATGATGTGTTTTCTCTCTCTCTCTCTCTCTGGTTTCCCCCACTAGACTGTAAGCTCCATGAGGGCAGGGACTATGTCTGTCCTCTTCATCACTGTACCCTAGCGTGGGTGCCTAACACTCAGTAGGGGTTCAGTAAATATTTGTTGGTGAATAAATCTGTGGACAGATTGATTCATGGAAGAAACAGAAGACAGAGGAGAAGGGCATGCCTCAGCCTCCTGAGTAGCTAGGATTACAGGCATGCGCCACCACACCCAGCTAATTTTTGTATTTTTAGTAGAGACAGAGTTTTGCCATGTTGGCCAGGCTGGTCTCAAACTCCTGACCTCAAGTGATCCACCTGCCTCAGCCTTCCAAAGTGTTGGGATTACAGACATGAGTCACTGTGCCCAGACTCTGCCTTCCTGCGTGACTTAAACAATGTATTTTCACGCAGTTCTGGAGACCGGCAGTCCAAGATCAAGGTGCAGCATGGCTGGGTTCTGGCAAGGGCCCCCTTCCTGGTTTATAGATAACCACTTTCTCATTGGGACCTCACATGGCACAGAGGGAGTAAGCTCTCAGATGTCTTTTTGTTTTGTTTTGTTTTGTTTGACAGAGTTTCACTCTTGTTGCCCGGGCTGGAGTGCAATGGCCCGATCTCAGCTCACCACAACCTCCGTCTCCCAGGTTCAAGTGATTTTCCTGCCTCAGCCTCCCAAGTAGCTGGGATTACAGGCATGTGCCACCATGCCTGGCTCATTTTGTATTTTTAGTAGAGACAGGGTTTCAATATGTTGATCAGGCTGGTCTCAAACTCCCAACCTCAGGTAATCTGCCTGCCATGGTCTTCCAAAGTGCTGGGATTACAGGTGTGAGCCACCTTACCTGGCCACATGTCTCTTCTTATAAGGGCACTAATCTCATCATGGAGGCCCCACCTTCATGACCTTATCTAATTCTAACTGACTCCCAAAGGCCCTGTCTCCCAGCAGAGTTCGAGACAGAAAATACTGGTGCACTTGGAAAGTCACAAATTGTTTGGTATGCTAAGAGAACAATGTGTATGGGCAGAAAAGGCATGAGATGGGTAGGAGAGGCAAGGAGATGGGACACTTGGATGCAGCTTTCCATTATCCCCGTTTTCCCTGCCAACTGGACAGGTCTCCACAACTCTCCTCTGCACCTGCATTCCTTGAGTGATGAAGGAAGGAGTAGGTTTGGTTTTTCCAGGGTTTCCTGAGATAAGAGAAGGATGATTCTCTGTGGCTGCCAAAGGGAAGAAACCTCCCACATGCCAAGAAGGCAAAAGATAAAGAAAGAATGAACGATTGTTTCCTATGATGAGTTGAGGACCATTGTGGGTCTGGACCAGCAGACCAGGAAGCATGCTCAACCCAAAAGAGATCCAAAAAGAAAACCAAATGAGTTAGGTGAAGCTGTCTTGCTTGAGACTGCCTAGTTTGTTCCCATGATAATGGCTTTCTGGAAAAGGATGATTGGATGAAGAATGCTTAAAGGTCAGGAGACTCTGGGTAGGGAGACCCTGGGAGAGGTTTATTAGTCAGCTCAGGTTGCCCTGACAAAATGCCATAGGCTGGGTGGCTTAAACAACATAAACTTGTTTTCTTGCAGTTCTGGAGGCTGGAAGTCCAAGATCAAGGTGCAGCATGGTTGGTTTCCAGCGAAGGCCTGTTTCCTGGTTTGTAGATAACCACCTTCTCACTGAGACCTCACATGGCAGAGAGGGAGAGAGGGAGCAAGCTCTCACATGTCTGTTCTTACAAGGGCACTAATCTCATCATAGGGGCCCCACCCTCATCACCTCATCCAACCCTAATTAACTCCCAAAGGCCCTATCTCCCATCACACTGTGAGTTAGAGCATCAAGATATGAATTAGCAGGGTACACATTCAGTCCATACAGGAGGCATTTATGATCATTCCAGTAGGAGAAGATTTGAGTCCCAAAGATGCATACCATGGTAATCATCAGCACTGCTTAGCAATATTTTCAGCTTTCAAGGCTCATAATGGGATACCATTCCCTGGGCCCTGTGCAGTCGAGTGGGGCCATGTGACTAGTTCTGCTCAGTAAGCTGTGAGCAGAGTGATCTGTGTCACTCCTGCCTGGAGCATCTATGTGGCAGTGCAAGACCCTCCAGAGCTCTGCATAGCATTGTCTTTCTCCAGGAAGCACCGATGTTTCTGCTCAACTCCCTTTTCTCTCCTTTCTCTCCTTCCTCTCCTTCCTCTCCTTCCTCCTCAATCTAGGAAAAAGCCTCACTCTTCTTAAACTCTAATTCTAATGATAAACATTACAGAATCCCTAATCTTTTTAATTTTCCTAAGGACTTAGACTTTGGGACACTAAAGACAGGCACTTGCAGACTTTCTTGTTTTTTTGTATAGTCCCATCTCCTCCCTCATGCAGTGAGCCCAGCCATCTGCTTAGATTGGGACTGAAGGGAGCATGGAGGAAAAAAAGGAAGACAAGGAGAAAGTACATCAATGAATATTTCAAAAAATACTATTGACATCTTCAAATTCATAATTCATTCCTTTGTCATCTTTATTCTGCAATAAACCCCCTCCTGTGAATGTTTTATTTTAGACATTGTATGTTCTAGACCTAGAAGTTCCCATTGTTTCTTTCTTATTGTTCTATTTGAGGCTGAAATTTCTTATCTTTTCATTTATTGTGAGCAGAGTTTCCCTTACATCACTAAGCATTGTTAGAATAGCTGCTTTAAAAACCCTTGTCTGCGCAAGGCATGGTGGCTCACACCTCTAATTCCAGCATTTTGGGAGACTAAGGCTGGTGGATCACCTGAGGTCAGGATTTCGAGACAAGCCTAGCTAACGTGGCGAAACCCCATCTCTACTGAAAATGTAAAAATTAGCTGGATGTGGTGGCAGGCACCTGTAATTCCAGCTACTCAGGAGGCTGAGGCAGGAAAATCACTTGAACCCAGGAGGCAGAGGTTGCAGTGAGCCAAGATCACACCACTGCACTCCAGCCTGGGCAAAATAGCGAAACTCCATCTGAAAAAAGAACAAAACAAAACTTGTCTGCTAATTCCAAAGCCTGGGTCACCTTGGAGTCAGCTTCCATTCATTGTCTTTTTGCTCAAGAATGGGCCACATTTTCCCATTTGTTTGCATTTAGAGTAGATTGTATCCTAGATATTGTGAATATTACATTGTAGAGACTCTGGATTCTGTGCTATTTCTCCGAAGAGTGTTGATTTTTTAATTTGTTTTTGGAGGCAATTAACTTGGTTTGACTCAAATTGCAAACTCTACCAGTAGGGCAGCAGCTTAGTTCTCAGACCATCTCTTTTAGCTTTATCTGGGCTACTTATGGTTTGCCTGGTGCATAGATACTTCAGAAATCACCCAGAGATTGGGGCAGAATTTACACACAGAGTTAAACCTTGCCATCTCCAGTTCATTCTCCCATGAGAACAGATGTCTGTAACCATGTTCTCTGGCTCTTCAGGCCAGATAGAGTGCAGATTTTCTGTTGGAGTTTTAGCCACCAACACCCATCCATTAGGTAGTTGAGATTTTTTTTTTTTCAGGCATTATATTTGTTATCTGAGGGAAGGTCTGCCCAATACGCACCTACTTGGCCATTATCAGAAGCAAAATTCCACATTTCTCTTTAAAAGGGTGTTTAGCTTGTAAGAAAACGTATGTCATAGTATGGAACAAGCCTTTACAGACACGTCTCTCCATTCATAATAGCCTACATCATTGTTTTTCACAGCCCCGTGAAAATTCCCTCTGGGAAATGCAAGAGTCAAAAAACCAGTTCGGAAATGACTGGGTTTGCTAGATAATTTGCCAGTTTAAATCATAGCTTTGCTCCCATTTTACTGATGAGGAATCCTGTGTTCAGAGAAAATATGTGGATTGGCAAAGTCTCAAGGTTACAAAGGAATGGATCTGGAGTTTGCTCTTAGGTGACTGGGATATTTAACAGACGCAGGTACTGTCCACAAAGAAGATATCTCCTGGGCCATTCTCCTGAACTTTAGAAATCAGATTGTGTCTACCTTCTCTAAACAGTACTACTCAGGTTTTAGCCAGAAATCACACAGCTAGAAGTGACTGGGCAGGTCAAGAACACTGGGGTTGACTGGGAGCAATGGCTGACATCTGTAATCCCAGCACTTTGGGAGGCTGAGGCAGGCAAATCATGAGGTCAAGAGTTCAAGACCAGCCTCGCCAACATGGTGAAACCCCATTTCTACTAAAAATACAAAAATTTGCCAGGCATGGTGGCTCACACCTGTAATCCCAGCTACTCAGGAAGCTGAGGCAGGATAATCTCTTGAACCCGGGAGGAGGAGGTTGCAGTGAGCCAAGATCGTGCCACTGCCCTCCAGCCTGGGCAAAAGAGCAAGACTTCGTCTCGAGGAAAACAAAAAAGAACGCTGGGGTCCTGTGATTCATTTCAAGGTCACCCCTCAATGTCACATTTAAAAGAGTTCACATGATTCCAAGTTGATGGTCCTGTGTAGAGACCCCAGTCCCAATCTGTCCACTTTATTTATTTATTTTTTTTATTTTTTTTATTTTTTTTACACCTGTCCCTAATACTTTATTGGTCACCTCTAGGCCTGTGTGCGGCTAGGTGGGCTCGGGGGAGGGCGTCACTATTCAGCTCCTAGGTGGAGGCATGAGAAGGCCTTGGCCTAGCCCTCCAGGGTCCCAGACTGTAGGGTTTGGAGGGGCAGGTCTGGCCTTTCCTGGGTCAGCACAGGGCACCCAGGTGGGGGCACAGGTGGACACCCAGCACAGGCACCTAGGTAGGGGCACAAGCTTACTATCCGTTGGCTAGCCTAATTGTGTTTGGAGAAATATTCCTTGCTGTCATCCACGTTGGGCTTAATCGTGTCACTGCCAGGCTTCCAGCCAGCGGGACAAACTTCTCCATGCTCGTCTGTGTACTGGAAGGCCTGGACCAGCCGCAGAGCCTCATCCACGGAGCGTCCCACAGGCAAATCATTAACAGTGATCTGGCGAAGGACACCCTTGCCATCGATGATAAATAGGCCCCTGTAGGCAATGCCTTCATCTGTTTTCAGCACGCCGTAATCCTCAGACAAGCGTCTGGTCACGTCAGCAAGCAGGGGGATGTTCAGGGGGCCCAAGCCTCCTTCCTTCCGGGGGGTGTTGATCCAAGCCAGGTGGGTGAACTGAGAGTCCACCGAGACGCCCAGCACTTCGCAGCCCAGCTTGCGGAAGTCCTCGGCACGGTTGCTGAACGCGATGATCTCCGTGGGGCACACAAAAGTGAAGTCCAGAGGGTAGAAAAAGAGGACCACGTACTTCCCTTTGTAGTCCGACAGCTTCACCTCTTTGAAGGCGCCGTCAACCACGGCTGTGGCCTTGAAGTCAGGGGCTGGCTTTCCGATGCGCGCGTTACCGGAGGCCATGACTGAAAGCTGCGTGGGCAAGGGCTAGACGCACGGACGATCACACGCGTGGACCCGCGTTCTCAGCGCCCCTGTCCACTTTAAAATGTCCCCAGTGTGCCTTTGAAAATTACAAATACCAGACTCTTTCTTACTCTGCTGGCAGGGCGATAAATTGCCTTTTTAAAATTTTTTTTGGCAATACCTTATTAAAATTGTTTGAACCTTTTCACCAAGGAATTTCACTTCTAGGAACACAGCCTAAGGGAACAATCACAGAAGCACACTGAGATTTATGTACAAAGATGAACATTGTAGCATCATTTGTAATGGTGAAAAATTGCAAAGAATTTAAATGTCCAAAAGTAGGAAATGCTTAAATAAAATATGATACAGCCATACCATAGAATATTAATATGCAGCTGCTAAGAATCATGTGCCTGGAGAAATTTAAGGACATAGGGAAATGCTGATGTTGTAATGTTGAGCTAAGTAAAATAATGCAGAACACAGTTCTCTATATAATATGATCCCATTTATAGTTGTGTGCATGTTTGTATATGCCTGTACAGGTATGTATCTATCTTGGTTTATATCAGAAAAAAATATGCAACAAGATGTTAACAGTGATTATGTCTGGGGGTCGATATTATACATAATTTTTAAATTTTCTTGCTTTTCCATATCACTTTCTAAATTGAGTATGTAATGGCCTTAAAAGCCCAAAAAGAAATATTTAACCTGTAAATGTCATCAAGAGAAACCAGAGTTTGAAAGGGCAGACACATGATAATATAAACCATTATATACTGCAATTTCAATTATCCAGGAGAATGATGACATTTCAAATCAAATTAACAGTCATGTATCAGTTAACCTCTGCTATATAACAATTACAAAATCTCCGTTGATGAAAGAAAAAGCTCATGTGTCTGTAATTGACTGGAGCTGTCTGATCTAGGCTGAGCTCTCACTGGTGTATCTCTGGCTAGGCTGGGACTAGGGTGGGTTGGGCTGGGTGGTGTAGTGTCTTGTTCCACTTGCTTCCCATCCTCTCCCAGGACCAGTGGGCAGGTGGCCATCCAAGTTCTTCTCATGGTGGATGAAAGAGGCACAAGACAGCAAGCCCCATCATGCAAGTGCTTTTCAAGCTTTTGGTGGCATCAAACCTGCTGCTGTCCCATAGGCTAAAGTGAATCACATGATCAAACCCAAAATTAAGGGGCAATCCTGCCTCCAATGGCAGAAACTGCAAGGGGACAAGTCAAAGATCATGGATACAGAGAAGAATGAAAAACTGAGCCATTCACTCAATTTGCCAGTGGTCACTATCCTAGGGGAAAGATGCTTGCATATAGTGTGAGTTGGAAATCATGACTTCATAGGCCTCTTATTCAGTTAGAGACACATTCCTCCAACCCCATCTTCAAAACCACCCACCCAAGACTTTTTTTTTTTTTTTGAGACGGAGTCTCACTGTGTTGCCCAGGCTAGAGTGCAATGGCACGATCTTGGCTCACTGCAACCTCCGCCTCCCGGGTTCCAGCAATTCTTCCTGCCTCAGCCTCCCAAGTAGCTGGCATTTTAGGCACCTGCCACCACGCCTGACTAATTTTTGTAATTTTTAGTAGAGACAGAGTTTTGCCATGTTGGCCAGGCTGGTCTTGAACTCCTGACCTCAAGTGATCTGTCCACCTCAGTCTACCAAAGTGCTGGGTTCACAGACGTGAGCCATTGTGCCTGGTCCAGCCAAGACTTTTGTTCCATGGGTATCAAGCATGCCAACTTTCTCACTGACTGGTCATTTGAGTTGTTTATTGTTTGGTTTGTTGGTTGGTTGGTTTTGTCTTTTTCCCATCATTCAAACCATTAATTATCTCTGAGATGCCTGCTAATTTGTTCCGTTTCATGTTTTACTGTAGCAGAGTCTCAAAGACACAAAGAAAAATAACAGCGTTCTGGAAGGCAAGTGATTTCCCCAAGGAGCATATAGGTCAATGCCACAGCGTGCAGCCACACTGACAGGGCAATGCAAGACTCCACGGCTGCGCTGTCCAAATGCTAGCCACTAGGCACAGGCAGCTATTTGTATTTAAATGTTAATTAGTTAAAAATAAATAAAATTTTAAAATTCTGTTCCTCAGTCACACTAGCTACATTTCAAGTACTTAATTCCCACATGTAGCCAGTGGCTATTGTAATGAACAGCATAAACAGAACAGGTCTGTCTTTGCAAAAAGTGCTAGTGGACAGCATGGCTCCAGAGAGCGCTACTGACCCAAACTGGATGGTGCTCCCTGGAGCTGTGCAATCCGGCAATCCTGACACAGCGAGCCAGATCACTCATGCCCAGGTCTCCTGGAGCTCACTACAATTCTGTCTGTGCTGAGTTTTTTGGTCAACGATTCTAAGGGCATTTGCTTTTTTCATTCTTTCAACTTAATAAACGCATACCTGCTATTCTTCTACTTTAACCAGGTCCTGCAAACGCAATCCATCCTGGATATTTTTTGCAAAGTAATGGGTTTCTTTGATGTTCTAGTTCCTATGTGTGGCAGCCTTTGTGATCTGGTCCTGAAGCACCTCTTGGTTCTCATCTCCCAATTCTCCTTGCCTCACACTCTTGGCTGCAGTCATTTGTGGTTCACCACATGCATATTGTGTTGTTCTATGGCTCTGGACTTTGAGAGATTTGTTTTTTTAATTGATGAGGTATTGCTCTGTCAACTAAGCTGGAGTGCAGTGGCATGAACACAGCTCACTGCAGGCTCGAAGCCTTAGGCTCAAGTGATCCTCCCACCTCAGCCTTCCTAGTAGCTGGAATTCTGGGCATGCACCACCACACCCAGCCAACTTTGGGACCTTTGGATATCTGGTCCCTGCAGCCAGAATGCTACTGTCCCATCTGTCACCTGCACTTTTAAAGCAGATTTCCCAGCCTGCCCTCTGAAAGATGCTTTCCCTGACGACACTGACACAGATGCTTCTCCTCCACTCTCGGGCCCCACAGTTCCCCTGGCTAACTTTTATCCTCACCTCTTTGCTACCATCCTCTGGCTTCCCTTCCAGGCTGTGGGCTCCCAAAGAGCAGAACATCTTATCTAATTCAGATCATTAAAGTGGCCCTGGAGCCAGACCCACCTGCGTGTGAACTTCTGTTCCTCCACTTGTTGGCTGTGTACTCATAGACAAAGTGCTTTAACTTTTCTGTACCTCATTTTTCTCACTTGTAAAATGGGGATAATATTATGTGGGTGTTCTGGCCAGGTGCAGTAGCTCACACCTGTAATCCCAGCACTTTGGGAGGCTGAGAAGGGAGGATCGCTTAAGGCCAGGAGTTTGAGACTAGCCTGGGCAACATAGTGAGACCCTGTCTCTGCAAAATATTTTAAAATTGCCAGGCATGGTGGTGTGCACTTTCAGTCCCAGCTACTCAGGAGGCTGATGTGGGAGGATTGCTGGTGCCCAGGAGTTTAAGGTTGCAGTGAACTGTGCTCACATCACTGCACTCTAGCCTGGGTGACAGAGTGAGACCCTGTCTCTAAAAAGAAAAAGAAAAGCGGGATGTTTTGTGAATATATTAATAAGGATTCTCCAGAGAAACAGAACCATAGGTTAAATGTTAAAAAGGGGGCCGGGCAAGGTGGCTTATGCCTGTAATCCCAGCGCTTTGGAAACCCAAGGTGGGGGGATCACTTGAGGTCAGGAGTTCGAGACCAGCCTGGCCAACATGATGAAACCCCATGTCTACTAAAAATACAAAAATTAGCCAGGTATGGTGGTGGGCACCTGTAGTCCCAGCTACTCCAGAGGCTGAGGCAGGACAATCGCTTGAATCCAGGAGGCGGAGGTTGCAGTGAGCTGAGATTGCGCCACTGCACTCCAGCCTGGGCGGCAGAGCGAGACTCCATCTCAAAATGAAAAAAGAAAAAAGGAAAAAAAGGAGATGCACAAGAAGAAATTGGCTCGAGTGATTCAGAGGCTGATAAGTCCCACTCCTGGCCATCCGCAGGCTGGAGGCTCAGGAAGATCGGTGCTGTAATTCAGTCCAAACTGGACGACCTGAGAACCAGAGGAGCTGAGTGAATGCCAGTCGGAGGCAGGAGAAGATGGGAATGAGAAGGGGCAAATCCCTCCTCCCTCCACCTTTGGTTCTATTTGAGCTCTCAACAGATCGGATGCTGCCCACTCACACTGGGGAAGGCGGATCTTCTTCACTCAGGCTACTGATTCAAATGCTAATCTCTTCCGGAAACACTCGCAGTCAGAAATAATGTTCTACCACATATCTGGACACTCCTGATCCAGTCAAGTCGACGTGTAAAACTATCACAGAGGCTGAACTGAGATGACACGGCTAGGAAACTTAGAACAGAGCCTGGCACCCTTTAAAGGCCTGCTGAGTGTTAGCTGTTGATCATATTGATCTTTTTTTTTTTTTTTGAGACGGAGTCTTGCTCTGTCACCCTGGCTGGAGTGCAATGGCATGGTCTTGGCTCACTGCAACCTCTGCCTTCCAGGTTCAAGCAATTCTCCTGCCTCAGCCTCCCAAGCTGGGACTACAGGCATGCACCACCTTGCCTGGATACATTTTGTATTTTTAGTAGAGATGGGGTTTTGCCATGTTGGCCAGGCTGGTCTCAAACTCCTGACCTCAGGTGATCCACCTGCCTCGGCCTCCCAATGTGCTGGGATTACAGGCGTGAGCCACCGCACCCGGCCTCTGTTGATCTTTATATTGCAAGATCTGGCACACAAGAGGTGCTCAGTTATTGCTGTCTGCATTAGTAAAATGATAGGAAAGTCAAACTAGTTTTTAAAAAGACCCCATGATTTGTCATGGTGCCGCAGAAGACCCAGGCACTTCTAAGTGGTCACCACTAAAGGAAGTGGAAACAAAGCTGCTTATTATCACCAAGGAGGAAGTATAGGTCTGTGTCTGGGATAGTTTTCCCTTCAGACAATCCTAGCCAGGCAGCAACTCCATATTCCCTTAAGAGGTTGCCCTCCTAGCTTCGAGCATGGTTAAAGACTTCCGCAAAGTACTTCCATTATCAGACCAGCTTTGAGACAGCTTAAGGCCCTGTCAGAATTA